AAATATATATACAATATATAAAAATTAAAAAATTTTTCTAACAAATGTTGTATGTTTTCAAAAGTATCTTATATATATGTAATATATAAACATTTCGACTTTGTTCACCCAAAAGAGAAAAATCGTTTTTTTTTTCTCAAAAGGATATTTCACGCCCTGAACATAAGATTCTGCTCGTATAAAAAAATGATATATTCATTGATGATATGTATATATGCGTATAAGTAAATCAAATATAGAGTTAGGTATTGTATAAAAATATTGCCTTAATTATACATAAGTAGATGGACCTTGAAACATTAGTCTCCATCGAGGACACTTGAGACACTGCTGGATGTTAAACATCCCATATAGCACGCACCTCTAAGGAATGCGATAGATATTCAAAGAACATCCTAAGGATGATCCCAGTGTATCTCGCATAAAATGTTGTTTGGGATGATAGCAAAGATTATTCTAGTTCCCATAACAAAAAATATCATAGAAACGGCATGATAATGTGCAAATATCTTTTTTATTAGAGGTGTGATATCACATCAATGTCATAGCGACGTACGAATATGTACTCTATCATAGATGATATCATTCATGACATCACTGTGACATGGTTATGAAGCAGTGATGAAAATTGTATCTCACTGCGATATTTTGATATAATCTCATAATAACGTCACAATTTACTTGTGAGCTTATTGTGACGTTGTAAGTTTATTATGACGTTATTGTCAATAAGTTTTATGCTGTGAGGATAGTATATACATATAAAAGTCTATGTGTGCTTTCAGTAAATAATGCTGTATAATATTGGTCGGATTTTTGCGCACTGGAATTTTATTCTCGTAAGTTTAATTTTCGTAACCGATTAAGTTGTGATTGTATTTTACAGTAACATCCGTGATATGTACAATATTTTAATGCAAGCGAGCGGGTTTTTGTTATACTCACATTTATATTAAATTCTTATATTAAATTATAGTAAATTTTTTTGAGAGGATTACCTATGAATAAGAAATTGTAAGTTTTTATTTATCGAACATTTACCTATTTCTTCAATAGATTTATCATGTAATTTCCACAATATATCTCCATGTTGATAATATTTTGACAAATTGTATTTGAATAATGTTTTGCTATGTCTTATTTCCCATTTGTAATTGTTCATTTCTATTATTTTCCACAGTTCTTCCTC